CTTAAGCTTACTCGTAAAAGCGTTTTCACATTTTTTTTAATAAATTTGATTGCTAAAGAACAATTGTATAACGTTACATTAATTAGGCAAACATTTTCTGTTACTTTTCTTGTCCAATTCTATTGAATATATATCAATGTTGAGTACATATTTGTTTCTTATATTAATACGAACACGAGTTTATGGTTGAGTCCCTTTTATATTTTACTTGAGCTAATCTTATTTCGACACTTAAAAGTTAAAACAGTTAATTGATGTGATGCAATGGCATGCATCTAAGACATAATTTAACCATATTTATAAATTATTTTTTGCCCTTTGAATCCTATCCTTATATCTTTGACAGTTGGCTTGAATCTTAAGTGGCAGGTACTCTCGACAGATTCTTATCCTATGTTGGGATCCTCTTCTGTAAGAGGTAGCCAAGAATTGTTGTCGCCGTGATTTGAACTTGATTTATTTGAGTACAATACTTTATATTCGTTCATATACTCTGAATTAGCGCAATCTAATAATATATAAAAAAAAATTGTACCGTTACAGTTGATTATTTATTTTCCTCTTAAAACCTCATTTGTATTCGACCATTATTATTAATGAAAAATAATTGTTTTTTTATAATCCCAATTACTACTAATTAGGGTTGGTCATCAGTAACTATAATTAGTTATTAATCCACAACATGTTTACATTTTGTGTTGAGGTTTTTCTACCTTTGGATATCGAGCTCTGTCTAGTTATGAACAATATACTTTTTGCGTACCGTAGAGTTCTCCGAAATCCGAATGAGTCTGCAAACATTAATACTTATTCGTCGCTTTCCTGTTATTTTCTTTTATTTAGCATGTTTTCATCGCTAATAGGTTACTGAGCTCTGGTGTAGTTAATCACGCTACTGGTTGGGTATTTTTCCGCTTTAACTTAACTTTGGAAGCAATTCTTTGCTCCAGGATTAGGGGATTCAGGGTTTAGCCTTGCAATGCATTCTCTGACACAAGCAGCTCACAAGTTTTATCACTGTCGTTAAATATAAATAATGTAGAACCGTCGATAGTTATAGCTGTCTGGACCGTAAAGTTTAAAGTTCTTATTAGTGTCTAATGTTGTGTGATAGGTGTATGAATAACGGCTTTATTAGCTATATGAGCTTGTTTTACTGGATATTTAGTTGGAACAAAATTTATAATATCAGCGCAAATATCTCGTAATTGTAAAAAAAAAAATAAATGTCGTCGAATACTCGCAAAAGACGGTAAATGGAGAATGTCTAAGTTGGATAGTTGTCCAATTTGCTTTCGAGAGCTTTAAAAATAATTCTGTAGGAATAATGTTTTTGTCGTGAACTCAGTTTTAATAACTCGAGATAGGTCAGACGAGACAGTTTTTGTATTCTAGTTGTCTACTCATTAAAAAAAAGTTTTAATAGGATTTAGGGGGAATAGAATAAAATTCAACTGTATCTTTCGCCTGTTAATAAACTGTAAATTTCGATATTACAAAAAATCTTTAAAAATTCGTTGCTTAAGACAAAATCAAGATGAAACCTACCCGATTGATAAATATAAGACATTTGGTAAATAAAACTGATATTTAAAATCTGTCAAGGGGTGTTTTACTTTAATATTACGACAAGAAAGTTATATTTCAGTAATAAGAAGATCATACAACTAATGACGCCCCTTTCGACTCAATAAAATTATCCACCACTGTTTGACAAACTATAACATTACAACATATACTGGGATCAACAGAAGTATTGCAAAGAAAAAACAAGGTGTTTGCTATTTTCAATTAGACTAGCAACAAGCAACTACGTGTTCGTTATCCATACAAAATTTTGAAGCACGAAAAAAATACCCACTAAGCGCCAAATGAAATCGCTTTGAGTGTTCAACCGACACTCGGAGTCCTCGAATAGTTAACAGCATCATGAGAACGCAAATGACAAATACACATGACTAATGCTGGTATGGCGGTTAGTGACGCGTCCGAATTCTGAACGTCCCAATTCTGTCGTGCGCAGTTTAAATTCTAGAGCGTTCCATGGCAGCCGCTGACGTCTGCCGTTGTTGTGCGCTCAGCTTCCGACGTGGCCGTCGCGAATCCATTGTGGTTCGTGGCCGATACGGTGGCCCCCTTTCCCCATGTCCGTTAACTGTGCCCCAAGTTTTGGCGGGTTTTTCACATGCAAATCGCGATAATTGCTCGCAACGGTCGCTCCTTAGCGCCGTCTCACGTGTCTGTCACGCGATGACGTGTCAACGCGCGACATACTAGTTGTAAGCCTAAAATTTGTACCGAAATTAAATTTCACCTAAGTGCAGAGAGTAGCACTTTAAAAAAATTATATGATTTAAAGAGTTGTTAGTCTTTTTAGTCGGACAGTATTCACGTCATGGTCTGGTGGTTGCGGCATCCGCGGGTGCGGTCTCGAATCCCGGTTACGTGCTGCATTAAATTTTCGGTGTTTGTGTTGGAGCAACGTCTTTAAAAGCTGACAGTCGATTTTCAGTGATTACGTCCTTTGAGGTGGCAGTCACCAGCGATTTTGAAGTATTTGGCCACGGTTACACCCGCACGAGACGAGACGCAAAGGTGTAATAGTCTTCGGACGAGCCTGCCCATTCGTGCAAGAGCGAAGGTATTGCGTGTCCCACCACCGGAAAATTTTAGTATGTAGTGCCACCATGACATATCTCAGTCACTCTTTGGCGTATTGTATAGCATTATCTATCTTTACCCCATTAGGGTTCTGCAAAAGAATCTGTTTTATAGAGGAGTTCACGTACAGAACGGTACGGGAGTAAGAGCGCAAAATTTAGCTTAGTTCGATGAAGCGTAGCTCATAGTGAATATTGTTACAGTTGTTCGAATCCCGGTGGGTGAAATTTGTACATATAAGAACGTTTCTCGAAAGTTGCACGTTTCTATGGACTGCTTACTTTATCGTCCATGGTGCATTCGCTTCACCCGTTCGCCCTCGGCGTGGGGATTTGGCTGCTAACGTCTGCTAAAGCCCATCAGCTCCAATTCAATCTGCCAACGGCAGCCGCCCCGTCGGCCGGGCAAATGCTCGCTTCCGGTTAGCGCAGCACTCTATCGTTTAAGGAGCGTCGCATTTCGCCCGAGAAATGGATAATCTTTAAGCCGTTAATCATGTTAGTGCCTGCAGTCGCTTACTGTATTAAAAACATTTATAAGAATATATATATAAGATTATAACCTTTTATATTATTAATTATTATAATTATATTAATTATTATACCCCTTTATAAGATAACACTAACCCATGCTGAGGATAACATACACCTAAGTCTGGATAAATTACGTTAGGTTTTAACAACTCTTAAATCCGACTGATTGTAACCAGCGCCGTGAAGGTCTTGAAATTAGATCCGCCTTCTCTGCTACGATAGCCGATCTTGGTTGTATATTCGTGCGTTTTGTTTTTGGGAATGAATCATTTGTAACTTTTATAAAGCGTATCTTTAAAATGCGTCGGAGGCGTCCTTGCTAAAAGGCATTTAAAATCATAGCGTGAAAGTGTATAGTCTAAAGAATTCATAAATGCTTTAACTAACAATATTTATCACGTTACACCTGATATAAGTTTCACTGTCTAATTTAAACAAGTTTTTATTATGCTTCTGAAACTTATTTCCACTCCTTAATGAAGCAGTATTGTAATAAAGTTGAAATCCCGCCTGAGATTGGAATTTCAAAGGACGAAAGCGTTGATGTCACGTAACAAGTATAATCCAATAGAACTCTGTCAAATTTCCTTTCAATTTGTACAGCGTTTGAAATACATATATTAGTCGATGAACTATTCATATAAAAGTATATCGCCCCTAATTGCATTGTTCGACGAAAATATGGCGCTCACGTTGCCTGTAGCGAGAATCTTGTGCGCTTTAGTTGATCTCAGTTGCAGAGTTCGATTCAAGCGCTCCTTTCTGTAGCGCCGAAGTCCTAGTAAAGCGCCGATTTTGTGCGCTTCAGTTGACCTCAGTTGCAGAAATGCACTGAAGCGATAATTCGCCTATTCGTCATTTGACAGTCGACACAAAATCGTCCCTTTTCACCTAGCGGGTAAAGTATCACTTTCGGTTCGCGTGACACTGTCTTCCGCGCTTTTCGATGTCTGAGTAAGACGAAGAGAGGTTTTGTTCCGAAGTTGTAAGACATAAACAACGCGAAGCAGACAGCGGAATAATTTAGATATAAACATGTGGATATTTATTTTTCGCCTTGTTTATTTATGAATATGGGAATAAGACGAAATGTATATTCTTGAATATTGGAAAAGTGTTACGTAACACTAGTTAGGTATGAGTTGTTTGCTTTCTTCTGATGGGAATGGACGATTCTCAAGTAAATCAATGGGTTAAAATTGGTCGGGCTTACTATCTCGATTCCAAAATATTTGTCAAATCAATTCAATCATCACAAATAGCTGTAAACTTTAGCAACACCTTGTTACTGTCATTGTACTCGCACGACAACCTTTATGATGTTGGATTGATTATAATTCATCATCATCCTCCTGCCCTTACCCCACCTAGGTCGTCACAACATGTGGATCATGCGCATCGTAATGCATGTAGATCGTAAGCGCTTTTGGCTATGATTATTACGAGCGGCCGCCTGTCTGACGTCTTTATTTGTGGGTCACACGAAAACTTCTCCAGTGTGGGAATAGCACCCACGATCCCCTATGCTGATCAATCCATACTTATATTATAAAAGCGAAAGTAACACTGTCTGTCTGTCTCGCTTTCACGCCCAAACTACTGAACTGGTTTAAATGACACACACAGATTACATTATTGGCACACAGATATTCTAGAGCCTGAGAAAAGACAAAAGGGTGTAAAATATCTTTCTTTAAATAATATATACATTTTTAAAGAAAGATATTAATTTAAGGGCTTCAACGCGAGTGAAGCCGCGGGCGAATGGCTAGTAATATATTAAAGGACGTGGCGAGTAGTTTATTAAGCATATTCGATTAGGGCCATTGACATTAGGGCCGTAGCGGCACGCGGAACGGGCAACCGGCGGTTTCCTGTCCATTTCTCGAGGCGCCTGAGCCCCGGAGGCGGGTCCTTGCCGGCGTCGCGACGTATCGATCGCGAGCGTCGCCAGGTGCGCACACAATGCACCGGCCAAGGTGCGGCCGGCGAGCGGAAGACGCGTACAACGATCGCCACCGAAACAGCAGCGACCCGCAGTGTGTTTCGAAATGGGACCATCGAACCGGCAAGCGTTACCTCACTGACAACTAAACTCTGCTGTTCAGTCTATAGCCTAAATTAATCGAGTGCACCGATTGACACGCTTTAATATCCTTTAGCTATTTTTTTATGTGAGAAATGTGGCAAGCGAGCTGGCAGTAAACCTGATACTGAGTGATAACCACCGCCCGTTGACATGTGCAACACCCGTACGGTTGCATATAAGTTGCCACCTTTTAATAAAGTCTGCTCCAGCTACCTCACTCTCCAGAAGAAACGCAGAAGTATAACACTTCTACTTCACGCCCGTCTTGTCTAAATTTATATTTTAACATGTTAGCTCCAGGACCTTAATTTTTATACACCTAATAGGGACTATAGACATCATTATCTGGTATAAAGTATTGAACTAGCTAGGTCCACTCATTTCCGAGAAAATCGGCGGTGACACACGGAAGAAAGGGTTCCTTTTTTCACCGTTTTAAGGTAAACCCTAATAATTAGTAATTCCATCCAACATAGAGATTTCAATGGAAGAAGACGGCAATTGCAACGCGAAGGAGCCAACCCGCGCAAAGTTTCGCTATTATGGCTAATATTAGTACAGGTTCACATCCCAGCGGTGATTACCGACGGTTCATAATGAGCTCGAAACGAGTCTCAATCAGAAATGGGAATTTCGACTTTGACTTTGCAATTCGCCGAGTTAATGGAATCTCGGCTTGCATGCGGCCCTCTTGGGATTGTTTCGGAGGCGCGTGTATCTTTTTATTTCGTCTTTGAATGGGGTAAAAAACGCGTCTTGACGAGATACGCGCTTCGTGCAGTTCGATAATTATACGCGAAGGCGGCTGCTGTGAATGTTTTTGATCTCGCCGACCTTCTGTGGATCCAAGACTCGCCTGATTAACTAGCTCCACGCTGGAACTATAAATTTTGATTTACATTGTTATTTTATCGCTATGGGTCGGAATGTAAGGGGTAGATTTTGTTAAACGGTACGAAAAGCTATTCTTTATAGTAAAAATGTATGCCGGAAGAGCAATTCGACACGGTAAACTGATGCTGGTGTTGACAACCTCCGAATGTGTCGTCTCTCCGACTACTTTAGTTCAATAAACGACAGTCAAGATTATATTATATTATTTTTTTCGGAAAACATACAGCTAAAGAAAAATATTATAACATAATTATGTAGTACGGATTATATAAAAATAATCCAATAATATATATTTTCACGTATACGATTATCACGTACGTCTGCGTTGAATAGACTGAAGGTGTAAAATTCAGACAGGAAGACAGATATTTACATAAAATATGAATATATATTATAGCCTATGTCTTATTCTGATGTATAAGCTATATTATTGTAAAGTTTCATTAAAATCCATTCAGTAGTATTTGCGCGAAAGGGTAACAAACATCCATCCATACATACAAACTTTGGCATTTATAATAATTAGTAAGGATAGTAAGGATGCTCATGATATCTGTTGAACACACATCACTTACATATTTTAAACGTAACAGACCGAATATTTAATAATAATTATTTTGCAAACTGCTTTTAAAAGATTAAATTGATATTAAATGCATAAGTGTGCAAATATTTATAAATATATTATCTTTTTTTTTTCGAAAAGAAGTGGCTAAAACCGGTAAAAAATAACACAACAATATGTAAAAGGGTTGTTGTAAAACCAAACTTACGCCGACGATTCCCAAGGAGGGATGACGTCAGGCAGGCGGCCGGTTGTAAAAAACAGCCAAAGCGGCTCACAACATGATTCATATTTTCGATTCCACCTAGGTGGGATAATGGCAGGAGGATGATGTATATTATTAAAAAATATAACGTCAGTTTTGGTAACTTTGAACATTTTTTACAGAATTTGTGCTAGGTATTACAATCTTATTTATATTTTGAGTTGGGGTTGGGTTTATTTTGCCGACACAATAAATTTACGAAAAAAACAACAGAACTTTCCACAATTTCCCCCCAAACACAAATTCAAAGTTATCGTGAGTTTAGAGTAACTTGGAATGTAATTTTCTTAGGATGTAAAAACCATCATTATGCGAATATTTTAAGGTGTAACGTTTAAATGTGATATCTCATTGAAAGTTCATTTTTTTTACTTTTCGTTATTTGAAAACATTTTGCCCATCGTTTTACGCAGTTACGCTATTGAAATAAAAAATAGGTTTCGTGTAATAAATTAATCAATCTTTTTCACAACATTGTTCAAAGTTAAACCGCAATTCAAAGTTACCCAAAACGACTGTACATCACTCATTAAGTTCGGAATATGATCAGGATTTTTAATCACTTATTTCATCGATATGACCTTCGTTAAGTTAGTGTTCGCCGTGTTTATTAAGCCGGTTTTGTTTAGTTATCACGCAGTTGTGCGATTTTCCGTTACGCTACGGTTTTTGCCTTAAAAAAAGAACGTATAAATATTACCATTTACATGGACCTTGAAAACGCAGAACTTGAATACGTTTAAGACTTTGTTCTCAAGGCGCCGTTTTCGTGTTCGATTGTTTCGACTTCACGTAAGGATATTTAAAATGATCCTTTCACTGCACAAACTATACACTCTACTGGACGTTAAAATTGTGAGATCTTGCGATTATGAAGTGTGAGATGATCTACTATCTAGTGAGAATTATTTTCAAATTCAAAGCCAAAACCTTTCACCTCAATGTGTGATTGTTAACATCATGGAGTCCAATCCTTTGGCAATATTCTGCAAGCAGCTCATATCATTCAAATAAATAGAAACAGAGAAACTTTACATATTTTTGGTAAATATGTTGTTAATATGTTTGGTGACTCTGTAACTAACACAAAACCTTGAAAACTTTTTCTTTCTTTTTTGAACAACACTCCCCTTGCTTTATGATAACAATAACCTGCACTGTAAGGACGTTTTACAAACATAAATTTCGCGTGGACAAACACCCGGAAGCGAAACAACTTGGGTCATACATAGTTTTCTCGTGTGGGAATCGAACCCACGACCCCCGACGGCGAAGCCAATACCTTGGCAACTGCTCCACGGAGTCATCAAACTAACCCACCGTTTCGCTTTTGAAATTGTGCTTTTGACTGACGTGGCGCGCCCGTGCAGTTTACGCATTGCCAACCCCTATTCTTGCTGATGAGATAATTTGTATAATTGCGTGTTTGGCGTGACGCATAGTCAACGCTGTGGCGTGTTTGCGTGTCACGCACGTTTCCCTTCAATAAGTCGTCCGTGCGCGTGTTGCCAGGCATTTTGGATGTCGAATTATGCCAGTATTCTGAGCTGTTTTATAAAAAATTTCTTTCAATCCTTCTAACACGTGTTTTATTTTAATAAAAACTATTTTCAGAATGATTGAATTATTGGGCGCTTGCTTTTTGTCTAACTAACTTTAGAGTGTTAGATGCAGCGTTCCGGTACCGTTTCTTAATTTCTGTTGTGATGTATACAGTCCTATGATGTCATAAAATTGTAAAATGAATACATTTACTTTCGTCTGTGAGGTCATCTGTTGATCTAGTGATTGTGATTCCTTGGTCCAGCGGGTCCCTTCGTGCAGCACGTAATTGTTTTTAAAGCCTTTTACGGTCTACCACACTACCATCAGATGGAATGATACTCGAGCACTTAGATTCTTACATAACTGTGGCAGGGCCACGCAACAGTCTTCATTATTGCACGATTGGGCAGGTTCGTCCGGAGATGTACTACGCCCACAGAAGATCGGCGTGAAATGGAAGTATTACGCATCTGCATTTTCGTCCAGTGAAAAGGTGGGAACGCATCTGCAATCCTACGGGTGTTGTAAATTACCATGGGCGGGGGTTAATATCACTTAACATCAGGTGAACCGCCAGCTTGCTTACCACCTTCTAAATAAGAAGCTAACTTTTTTTATGTGAAAAATTGCCAAACGAGCAGACGGTTCACCTGATGTTAAGTGTATACCCCCGCCCATGGAAATCTGCTGGTACACCCGAGAGTTACAGATGCGTTGACAATGTTTTGTAAATTGGACTCCGGCTACCTCACTCACCATACGAAACGCGAAAGTATTTGTCATACTTCCACTTTACGCGGGTCTTCTGTGAGATCGTGGTACTTACCCGGACTATATATATATAACTTAGATATTATTTGAACTCAATTCCAATTGTGTACATGCAATTGTAACTTACTTCAAATAATATCGATAGAAATATATTTAAGCATGTCGTCGTTTAACTATATAGGAGTAAGATATATGAAGCCTTAAGCTCATTAATAAACTTTTTTGTTACAGGTAAGACAGGCTTTAATACCCGTGCTGCTTCTGTGGACATTAATATGCAGTGAGTCGAAAAAATATTGTTAATAAAAAGGATTGCACGTCGAAATACACATAAATGTGTATTGAATATAAAATAATGTTATTTCATTTGATAGAACTTTATATTCACAAATTTATATTTATTAAAGTACCTCCAAATGTAGTATGGTTTGAGGGTAATAAACATATTGTTAGACAAAACACTTACGGCGTTTGTTGTTTTTGGTTCTGTTACTGAATTTTCGTCGTTTATAACGCTGCAGCTTTGTTCGCTATAAAATCCTGAAAACATTTCTACAGTGAAGTGTAAAAGTTAAAAATGTTAGCCTAAAATCGAGAAATCATTATTCATTTAAATACACTATGTATTAAGTAAATAGCCAGCAACGTTACGGATTTGTTGTTAACAGAAAAAGTTCTCGAAGGGTAGATCTTTCAACTGCCAACTTTTTAATAACGCTTAACAACGCAACTTCCAGGAGACGTTCGGATTATATGAAAAGTTGCGTCATTCAACAGATTGAGCCGTTGGGCGGAATTAATCGAAAACCAAGATTAAACTAGCGGTTTAATTATAACAGTTTTGTGGCTTGTGGCGTTGGCCAATGATTGATTGACGGATTTAAGGGTGATTTTGCTCAGACTGTACAATTGTTAACTGTGAAGGACCACGC